GGTTTAGGGTTTGGGGTTTGGTATTTAGGGTTTGGGGTCCAGGGTATGACACAGCTAGAATATATGCCACCACGGAGCAACGGTTCATAGAGTGTATCGGAGTCGTACTGTAGCATAGCCTACATGAAATCACATGAGATGTGCCAAGCACATATGGTATCGTGGTGTTATGAGCCATGCCCAGCCATGGCAATAGCAATGACTGTGAGCATGGCAACAATACCAATAATTATGCTTACAGAAATTGCATACCTTGCTGCATCGAAACATGAGGAGACATATGGAACCTTCGCAAATCTAAACCCGAATAAAGAACCCCAAGGAATAGCAAACCCTACATGGCACACCTGACCGTGAACCTCTGAACCCTAAACCATAAACCATTGTACTGGTATGCTAGCAGCTAGTAGCAACGGAGCTACGTGTCATGCCAGTCACAACACGGTAAACCACCAGCGCTCCTGCTACCGACGATAGCGATTGCAACTACTACCGACAGCAGTAAACACGGCACTCGCAAGCATGATGTATTGTTGTGACTATACGAGCTCTTGTTGTTGCGGTTCATGATCTCGGTTCTTCTTCCCGTCTTTGTAAGATGATTCTCAGTCTCAGTGCCATGACCAATCTTCCTACTCTTCGCGTATGTATATACAAACACACTTGATCGATCGGACACATAAGCGAGGAAGCAATGCAGGCAGGCAAGCAAACAAACAGGCAGGAGCAAGTCAAAAACCTCCATGTTGAGTACTTCTACCGCTGCACCGAGGATTGCCAAAGGCCTCGCCGATGCTTTGCAGCCGGCTGCTTTTCTTCAATGGACGCCCGCAGATTCCAAGAGTAGCCGTGCTCCTACCGAAGTTCACAGACGAGCAGTTACGACAAGCAGAGCGCCGCCAGCTCGAATCGCGCTTTTGGGTGCGTGAGACGGTCACCATTCATGCCCATCTCTGCCTCTTCATGTCATTGTATGAGCTGTAGCATGATGCCGCTTTCATCTTGCGAAGGGTGCAGCCCTGCTAAGAATTCGGGCCACACAAATGTATTAATCATGGTTCGCGAAGGAAAGAAGCGATACAAAGGTCTTGGCACGCTTGTCCGCAAGCATTGTGTGGATTAGTCTAACTGCTGCATTCAATGTAGAGGGACGCGACAATAGGGGTGCTCTGCATTCCATCAACAATATATGAATATTTATCTGACGGTGGTTCTGACTATACTCTAACGAGGTTGTCTACCTTTCGATCATCACCGCGGCCTTCATCTTCACGGCAGCTGCTTTTCTCACAGGCGCAAGTTTGTGCCGAGAGTTTCTGACTTGAGGAAGCACATCCCCAAGAGTGAGGATAAAATGAGACGACACACCGTCGTGTGTGCATAGGTATGTATACGCACACATACACGCATGTATACATATACAGTCACACATACATACGTACATAATCAAATAAACAAGACAAATAAGAGAAGTTATCAACTAAAGAAGAAGACAAGTGAGTACATGCATACATAGATACATACATGAAAAAGACAACAAATAGACAAGTAAATGAACAGAAATACATAATCCTGACTAAACAAGCAAGTAAGAAAGTATAAACAAATATTACATACATTTCAACAAGTATAAACAGAATAAATACGATCACTAAGGAATGTAACTAGAAATGGATATAAATATAAATATAGGTAGGCATAATAAATAAGAGTAAGTATGAATGTAGATACAAATACATGTAAATAAATATGAACATGAAGAAACGAATAAGTACGTAAATACATACATAAACCAATGTGTATATATATATAC